AAAAAAAAAAAATATTAAATCAAAGGTGACCTGTTGGATATTTTAAAAATAAACTTGTAAAAAAGAAAAGAACCGGTAATTTTCCTTTCAAAGGCATAAAGAATATTCTGAATGGTCACGGCAATATATAGGAGAAAGATTCACAGTAAAAATAAAAATTAAAAAAAAGAAATGTAATGATGCACACATTAAACTCCTTAACTATCATTACTCATCTAGTATTTCCTGTACATAGTAAATCCACAAGATGAATAAAAATGGATATAAACTATTTGCCTTGAATATTTTCTGGCTCAGAGAAACTTCAAGCTCCCATTCCAAATAAATGGACACCCAAAGGCCTACATTAAAAAATAGCTCTAAAGAGGGAAATGCAAACAAAGAATGTTTGGTAACAACAGAAGATTTTCAACTTGACATTTTTAAATAGCGCCACGCAGTTTAATAATTTCAAATTTATAGTTACAGTTCAAAACCTACCTTCTGCTTTTGGAATGGCAGGGTATGTCATGTTTAAGGCTGTTTTCTTCAATCTGCAGTGTGTGGTTGAAGGATCCATCTAACTCTTGCACTGTCACTTTAAGTGGTCCCTTTAAAAAGAAACACTGTTCAAAGGCAAGCTGAAAAATACCAGTCTATCCAGGAGCTTCAAAAGTTCTTTGAAAAACAGAATTAAAATATGATGGAACTTTCTGAGGGGAGAAGGGAAGAAACGGGGAACCAATCGCAATGATTGATGTACAACACTCCCACCCCCAGGGGGACGAACAACAGAAACATGGGTGAAGAGAGACAGAAGACGGTGTAAAATATGATAATAACAATAATTTATAAATTACCAAAGGTTTACAAGGGTGGGAGGGCGGAGGAAGGAGGGGAAAAAGAGGAGCTGATACCAAGGGCTCAAGTAGAAAGAAAATGTTTTGGAAATGATGATGGCAACATATGTACAAATGTGCTTGATACAATTGATGTATGGACTGTAAGAGCCCCCAATGAATAGATTAAAAAACAATAATAAATAAAATAAAAGATCAGGGAACTTTCTCACAACTTGACTGCAGTCTGCTCCTATGCTTGTGTATAAGTCAAAACCAATCCCAGTGGCATCGAGTTGATTTTGACTCATAGTACTGCGACTCTCGGTCTCCAAGACGGTATACAATCTAGGAAAGCTGACTGCCACATCTTTCTCTAGTGGAGCGGCTGGTGGGTTTGAACCACCAACCTTCTGGTTAGCAGCCAAGAACTTTAATTACTGCCCCACCAGGGTATACCCAAACCAAACTCAGTCACGTATACAGACATACAAATCAAGATACAACATACTTCTGTTCAACATGTGTATCTGGAGACACAAAAAGGCCACCACTGCTGGAGGACAGAGGAATGAGGCAAACGGTAGCCCACAAAACCTCTATTTGTCACCTCCTCTTTCCTTTCATTGAACAGGGTGATTGCTCAAATCTACTCCCTGCAAACAATCCTCATTACAAACCTTCCTATGGATAAGTGCTTCCATAAACCGAGACTAGAATCCAACTGGGCAAAAGACTACTTCGGGGAAAGAAAAAATGAAACAAAAACACTTACCACATATTTCTGAGTTCCCGGAGATGTATAATCTTGTTTTATTTCTAATTCCAAGACATTTCGTTTTCTATTAAATGCAAAACTTCCATAAAATTTTACCACTCCACTCTGGTCTCTAAAGGCATGTAAAGGAATCTTCACATAATGAAATGAATTCACACTAACCAACATCAGCTATTCGTTATAGTAGTGAAAATTTTCAAGGACATCTCTAAGAATTCAAAGCTCAAGAAGTACACTTCAAGTTAAACCTGGCAACGTAATCAAAATTCTTATAGAAATGTTTCCCTTGAGTCAAACAAGATTTCTGAAACATTAAGAAAATTGTGTCTTGAAAGCAGCAAAACCACACTATTACTAGTTTTAAAACAAATCAAAACAACACATAAGTTCTAAGATACTACTTAAGTTGTGCCAGCCTGGTACAGATAGGAACTGGAAATACAGGGAATCCAGGGCGGAGGATCCCTACAGGACCAGTGGTGTGAGTGGCGATACTGGGAGGGTAGAGGGAGAGTGGGTTGGAAAGAGGGAACCGATTACAAGGAACTATATGTGACCTCCTCCCTGGGGGACGGACAACAGAAAAGTGGGTGAAGGGAGACGTCGGACAGGATAAGATATGACAAAATACCAATTTATAAACTATCAAGGGCTCATGAGGGAGGGGGCAGCAGGGAGGGAGGGGGAAAATGAGGACCTAATGTCGGGGGTTTAAGTGGAGAGCAGATGTTTTGAGAATGATGAGGGCAATGAATGTACAAATGCGCTTTACACAATTGATGTATGTATGGATTGTGATGAGTTGTATGAGCCCCTAATAAGATGATTAAAAAAAAAAAAGCTGTGCCAGCTTCAAACCACATCTAAAAGTCACCAGACCACATGTTATAAAGAACTGTACAGGCCAGTCTGGTGGATTACTTTAACCCTACCCTTCCCAGCAACAAACCTACTTTACTCCCATGCTCAAAAGTACTTCCAAATATACCACCTTTTAAGTGTACAGCTACCTGGATGCGGATGTGGACATCACAACGATTCAAAGGCACCTTAGAGGAAATGATTCTTATTTACACCATTTAGGAAGTTGCCCTCTTTATACCCTCATATGCCTTTTTCGTTCCCCCCGCCACATGCACCTTATGCCTTTCCCCGCCTTGGACAACTGCTATTGAAAAGGGTACACCCACTGCTTTATTAAAGGCTGGATGTCTTTGCCGGAGACATTGGAGATGGACTTCAGAAACCCCGATGTGGAAACCAGCATCTGGCTCCACATCTGAGACTGGAACTTCTGAGACGAAGCTGTACTGGCCAGACTTAGCAGCTTATTGAAGACCTGGGGAGACGAAAGCGTCGATAGTAAAGCTAACAACATAAAATATATGGCTTGAAACCCATACTAAACATACTTCCCGTGGTAACTTTGTTACAGTTGGCCAGAGGACAAGTTAGCATTTTACCACTTAGTGTTCCAGTTAGAGCTACTTAGCAATAGAAAGGTACAAAGATTAAACAGGATAAAACTGTTTTTCCTGTAACCATTCTTGAATTATCATGTTATATTGGAAAAATTGACTTTTCTTTATTAATAATAACTATGAAATATAAACACCTACCTAATTGACAATCAAAAATTTAATCATAACTAATATTGTAATTAACAATAAACACCATAATACCTATAATTTATTACACTACGAGCTCTATGAAAACATAAACATTATTTAAGAAGTTGAGATTATGCATTGGGGTTGATTTATACCAGGGGTCCTCAAACTGTGGCCCGCCAAGGATATTAATCTGGCCTGCCGGGTGTTTTTCCCCTTTGTTTTTTACTTCAAAATAAGCTATGTGCAGTGTGCATAGGAATTTGTTCATAGGTTTTCTTTACACCAAAGTCCGGCCCTCCAACGGGTCTGAGGGACAGTGAACTGTCTGTCCACTTGTTTAAAAAGTTTGAGGACCCCTGATTTATACCAACCCCCCCAAACTGAATGGTCCTTTATTGACTATTATTTAATATTTGCATTCTTTAAAAGTACGGTGAAGGAGAACTTTTTAAAAATTAATTTTAAGACAAACAAAATGTTTCTATTGAAAGATGATTTATTTTCCATGTTCCTTTAAGGTTATCAATTTAAAAATTGCTAAGTAATCATAATACAATTAGTTTCTACTCTCAGCTATTTATACCAAAACTAGTCTAAAACATATGGCAGAATTTACAAAAATGATAAGAATTAAACAATTTTTAGATTTCTCTTTCTATTGAAAATATTTCTCAACAGCACTTCACCCTTAATATCACTATTGAATGAAGTGGAAAAAACAAAATAACACACATAAGTAGGTGGAACATTCACCTCTATGTCCTCATTCCACTTTCCCACTAAGCTAAAGGGCCCCAACATTGATCTTGTCCCCCAGAAGACAGGCCAACAACAAGCCCCATGGGAACACAGTGGGCAAGCAGCTCATTGATCAGAAACCAAAGCGTCAACCTAGAGGCCTGTTTCAAGTAACACACACGCAGATCGTTCTTGACCACTGTGGAGTTCCTACTTTACAATGTGTTTTCACGACTTACTTGTAGCATAAATTCCATACTGATCCTGTTTTCAATCAATCTCATCACCAGGTGAGCTTTACACTGGAACATAGTGTAATATTCCCAGGAGAGTGTATGCGGATGCTTTATTGAAAAGTGAAGATGGGACGCTGGACTACACAAAACATACAGATTTAGTGAATATAAGAGATCTGAACATCAAAAATATGTAACAGTGTTTTTTTTAGTGTTTTCTTAAAATGAGGGTTTATAACATTCTCTGATAAAATAAACATACTTATCTTTCTCTTTCCCTCCTCCAAAAATGGGATGTAATAAAACTCCACCAGTCTTCAATTCATATGCCACGATTTTGTCTAGTTCCTTGAAAAGATATCATAACATAACACATAAGTCAATGAAAATATTTTTAAAAACATTAAATGCCATCATTCACCTATGGATTCCCGTTTCCTAGAATTGGAATGTAAATTTCTTAAGATGAGTGACATACATGTATTTAGAGAGTAGATTGTATACTTATAAAGACAGCAGACCCCAGGCTGGCTAAATGATAGTGGGGAAACCGTCTCCACATTGTGACTTCAGGGCTAACCAGGTGACCTTCCTCCGGGGCTCTTGCCAACCGCTCCAAACTCTGTTCTAAGTTTATTTCCTCCTTCTCTGTTTTGCTTCCAGTGAGAGGATGTAAGCAAGTAAACAGAAATGAGGATAAAATTCCTTTAGAGATCCATCATTTTTAAATTTCTCACTTCTTCCTCTAATAGAAGAAACTTTAACAACGACAACAAGCTCAGTGAACAAAACGGAATAGAGCAATTGTGCTGGATGTTCATGACCAGTTTAAATAATACAGATGTAGTGCTATTACGTGGTGCGATCAAACTGTCCCCAACTTGTGGCAACTTCACACACAAGGGAAAATCAGAAAGTACAGCTGCTAGACGTCTAGTTTATACATTTGGATTTATCCCACACAAAATGCGTTAAACATGGCTCTCACTAGGTTGATGGCTGCAAGAGTTTTTTCAGTAATATGAGAAGATAAAAAAATTTGGTTACATAACCACAGAAAGGTTTATTAAACAAGACTATCAAAGTATGCAGTTATAGTTGCTCCGCATCCCCTATCCAGGTCTATACATGCCTGAAACAGCATTGCCGTCTCACTCACTTTTCCCCAAAAGAAATCTGTTCCCTTCCACTTATACCATAGCAAGATGGCAGTTTGGGCATCCTTAGAGGACTAAAAAAATTGTAGTCCCTGTCAATGGTCTCTGAGCCTCAGAAACAGAAGTCTGACAGGCGAGCTCAGGCTATACTATTGTAGGGCAAGTGGGGTAAAGACTCCCAACAATTTGGTTGGATAGACAGCCTTTGCTACCTGGGAGTGGCAAGAGGGTGCACGGTCGTGATGGGAAGAACTCCTCAACACAGCTTTCATTGATTGTTTTCCATTTTCTTAAAAAATTTTCATAACAAGCCCCTAAGACTCAATGGCAGTGAGGTCATTCTTGGTCTTTCAAGGCAATCTATCCCAATGACCACATTGGAGTCCCAAAAGTAACCATCAGAGCTGAGATCGCTTGCCTTGAATTTAATGGGCCCAGCAGATCCCTTCAGAAGCCACTGTTTTTGACTGCACTGTTTTGAAGGCACCTTGGGAGACCAAGAAAAACGTAACTAAGAAAACATGCCAGCAGCCATCCATGGATGGCCGAGACAGGTTTCAGCACAGCGGTTTGGGGGGAACAAACCCACGTATAGTAGAAAGAGGAACCCTACTAGCAATACTTTCTGACTGCCTTGTGAATGACTGCAAGAAACCATGCCTGGTCCTGCGCCATCATCATGACCAGCGGCATGTCTGAATCCACGGGGACAGTATTCTGTCCCAACCCCCACCATGTGTACTGGCTGATCTTCACAAGTAGATGGCCAGGTCTTCGTCCTATCTTCATCTGGAAAGGTCACTGGAACCTACCCACCAGAGGAAAGCCTGCCTCCTAGTACCTGAAATGCCAGGGACACAGCTTCATTCACGCACCGTAACAACAAACAAGCCACTGCAGCAGGACAAAAGGACAGGCAGTGGGCAGATGCAGCATAGAGAAGTTAGAGAGCCTCTTACAAAGGCTAAAAGCCGGGTTCAAGTCCTGACTAAAAGCTATTTACTAGCTTTGTACTACCTCTGGGCACATACCTTGACCTGTCTGTCTGTCCCTCAGTGTTCTCACCTATCAAATGTACGTAAGACTGCTAAGAGGAGTCAACAAGCCAGTATTTCAAAAATCTTTCTAACAGTGTCACATGCATTGTTAAGCGCTAGGTATAATTTTTCCCCTTTCCATCACAATTTACAAGATGAAGAATGGACTCTTCCAGTTCAGATGTAGGAATCCTCTCAAGTCTTTTACAATGAACTTTAACTTGCACTTAGGTTTAGATGAGGAAAATGAATAGAAGTGAGAATATGGAAGGTTCTGCTTAATGAAGAAATTAAAGACTGAGAATTTTTCAACCTGGGGAAGATGAAGTTTAGTAAGATTACAATGTTTAAAAACAGAATGTTCTTTAATGCTTCCTCCCTTCCGACTATCATGACCTCAATTCTACCTTACAAATCCGGTTAGACCAGAGCATGTACACTGCTACAGATAAGAGCTCCCAACACAAGAGAGTCCAGGACAGATAAACTCCTCAGGCCCAATAATGAGAATAGAGATATGAGGAGGGTAAGAGGAAGCTGGGGGGGAAAGGGAACCGATCACAATGATCTACATATAACCCCTTCTTAGGGGAATGGACAACACAAGTATGGGTGAATGGAGTCGATGGTCAGTGGAAGACATGGGGGGAAATTTTTTTTTATAAATTATCAAGGGTTTATGGGGGAGGGATGAGGAGCTGATATCAAGGGCTCAAGTAGAAAGAAAATGTTTTGAAAATGATGACGGCAACAAATGTACAAATGTGCTTGACACAATAAATGGATGGATGGATGGATTGTGATAAGAGCTGTAAGGGCCCCCAAGAAAATGATTTTAAAAATAAAAAATTTTGAAAGAATAAAAACAGAATGGGCTAAAAAAAAAAAACAGAATGGGCTAAGCAAAACATACTTTTAATTTTTTTAAAGATCAAACCCTTAGATAGCAGAAAAGAAATGTGCTATGAAGGTGAACATTAAGTGCACTCAAGGACTAGCCAGCCTATAACAAGCATTTAGTATGTACAAGGTAGGAAGGTCTGGTGGCACAGAGGATTACGTGTTGGGCTGCCAACCCAAAGGTCAGCAGTTTGAATCTACCATCTACTTCGTGGGCACGAGATGAGGAAGCGTTCTGCTCTGGAACAGCCATGGGGCAGCGGATGCCCTGTCCCACAGGGTTACAACGAGTCAGAACTGACTTGCTGTCAGTGAGATGGAGAAGGCATCATGAAGTGCATATTACATGAAAGAGGTCTCACCTCACATTCACTGCCCCTGGGCTAACTACCACTACCCCTTGCCCAGAGGAGACGTGGAAAGATGAATCAAGGTCACAGAGCCAGTCAATGTATGAGGAAGATTCAAGAGCAAGCGCTCCAACTCCAGAATCTGTCTCTTCATCTATAAAAATCTTCAGAAACTGAGTGAAAACTCACTGTGAAGATCTGGAATACACACTTGTTGGGAATGGACAACTATATGGGAATGGAAGGTCCAAAGACCAACTTGAAGCTAGAAACCTCCTCAAAAAAAAAGAGACACTGACCATTTTAAGCAGATAAAACAGACCATTAGTCTTTCTTAGTAGTGATTCCCTTTGCTGTGAAAACTTAAATAGCTGACAACTGGATTGACATTTTTACATTTTACACGCACTTGTACAATTATTAAAAACAAAGCGCACATAACTTGGAGATCAGTAGAACACAAACATGTCTTACTACCTATAAGTGAGGAAGAGAAATTGTAGTTGTTACCTCTTTAATCCAGTGGCGGTACTCATTAACACCAAACGTTTTTTTCATCCAAAGTCCATAAATATAGCCTGAGATTCCCTTCAGCACCCACTCATCAGACCTAGGGAAAAGGTAAAATACAAAGTTCTTTTAGTAAAAAAAAAAAAACCTTGGGGGTGGGGAGGGAGCAGGGAAAATGAACAATTGATATTAAGGGCTGAGGTGGAGGGCAAATGTTTTGAGAATGATGAGGGCAGCGAATGTACATATGTGTTTGACACAATGGATGCATGTATGGATTGTGATGAGAATTGTACGAGCCCCCAATAAAATAGTTAAAAAAAAAAAAATCTTCCAGTGAAGCCTAAGAGGATAATGGAACACAGGATTTACTCCGTTTTCCTTATAGGATAATGAAATTATTAAAGTATTTGCTTTCCCTACTACTTCTGGCCAGATGACGAGTTCTTCTTTCTTCTTCACATCTGGCTTTCCCTTTAATTACAGACTGTATCCAAGTTTCATTTCCAGTAGACTGCCTACACATGCGCTCTGTTTTCGGCATTGCTGCGTCCCTCTTGCAACGCTGTTTACACTGTCTGCTCCGAAAGCAACAGGTGCTCACAACGGAGTCCCTCCCCTCTACTGCTGGCAATCCACTGCATCGAAAAACTAAAAAATGCATGTGCTCCTTTTTCGGTTTTGCAAGAAGAAGGCCATGAACACCAGTCAAGCATCTAGTCACTTTGTACGTGCATTCATTCAGTTTGCCAGCTATGTTCTAGGCACTACCCTTGAGTAAAACTAAGCCTAATTTTAGAAAAATTACAAATTAAAGGATTTACCCTCTCCTTTCTCTCCTCTAGGAAAAAAGCAAAACAAAATAAAATAACTAAGATTTTGTTTTGTGTTTTTAATAGTACAGAGTTTGCACAATTATAACATCATCTTAAGGGAGTTTCATGCTTTTCTCCTAATTTACCTTAAAGTTTAACCAAAAAGAAAAAATGTAAATGTTTTCCCCCCTAATTCCTTTCAAGTACATTGATAAAAAGTCAGTGTTGACAGGTAAACCACTACATCATTAGCACAAACGTAGGAAGTCATCATTTTGCCTTGAACATTACCAGTGGCCCTGCATGTGTTAGCCTTCTCACTGCAGTTCTCTATTTCCAGTCCTTATGTTTACAATACTCATCTAGCTTTTAGGAAGTCACTGCTATCCAAACTCTCACCTCTGAAGGCCATTAGGGCAGGAAAAGAAACAAAACAAAAAACAACTCTTGGACCTCTGTATTCCTGCAAATGGTAACATTATCACATTGGTTTCACGGTCAAAAGGTAGAGTAAACTTTATATTATTTTCCTATAAATTAATATGGAAGTGCAGTCAAGTATTTGCTATTAAGGCAAAGATCAACTTGTACTACAGTAAAGGACAATCAGAGAAACTTGTCAGATTTTTTCCCTTTGTTGTTGTAAGCTCTGAAATTACTCACCACGACATTCTGGATATGAAACATCCAAAGAATTGCTGGGCCAATGACTGGGCCAGACACCTTCTAGTCAAAGGAGTCTCATCTATAATCATGGCACTGTGTAAAAGATTTGTGCTACGATTTAAAAGAAGAGAAACATAACTAACAAGTAAACAATTACTCAGTTAATTAACATAATTACATTTTTTAAAATAATGGAATTGAAGTTACATAGAAGAAAAATTCAGAATATTCTAAGAACTTCCTCATATTTTAGCTGAAATTTGTCACTGTTATAACTTTTGCTTAAATAAGATCCTCATACAGGGGGATGGGGGGAGGGAGGGGGAAAAAAATCCTCATACAAAGGCTCAGCTAATTTAAAAAAAAGAGCGTTTCTTGACTCTTAACTTGACTGCTCTCTATCACTGACTTAAAGTGCATTCTCCCATCAGATCTGTATACGAGCATGATAGAAAATGCCAGGACATTATGATTCCCAACACAGAGATGAGAACATGTAGGTCCAGCCCAGGTAAAATGGCTGAGCCTGAGACACAAAGCATCTAAGTTTGGAATAGTCCAGAGGAAGATGAAGAGGTGAGAAGATGGAAGGAAAGGAGCAAAGAAGAAAAAGAATTCTTTCCTCCTCTTCTAAATTTCTGACTATCTCTTTAGACTTCTACATATTTTTCATTTAAAATAAAACAGCTATGGAAATTATTCTACAAAACCAATCACATCTAAAATAAAATGTTTAGAGCTAGTCTTAACATTTTGATTAGAAAATAACTTTAAACATTTTTTTAAAAAGAAAATAACTTTTCTTTACATCATCATTCTAATGCAGGGATTTAGAATTTAAAGCCAAACCAACCTAAAAATGCTCACAGAAGCATAGGCAGCCACTTCAACGTAAGCCTCATCAATGAACACACTTTTAAAACAGGAGTATGGGTATCGACATGTCAGGATTTCCTCATAAAACTCAAAGACTTCATGAAGGTATGATGTCGTATGTTTAAGTAAAGGAAGAAGTTGGGGTAAACAAAAATGAGTCACCTGAAAATAAAAAGCAGGAGGAAAAAAAAATCACCTGAATGGAAGAGTTTACTTCAATACTGTAAAATTCTTAACTAGCTCAATTATAAATCAATACACACTTACACAATTTTCATAATGCTGGGGGGAAAAAAAGCTGTTATAAAATCTGTGATATACCCCCAGCCAGTCCTGGGGCTTTGGGGGTTGGTCAAGGGGAGTCGCTCTGAGACATGGGGGTACAGTGAACGGATGACGCTTTGCTGGGCATGCCTACACAGTAGGGGATGCTGGGCACCTCTAGGGTTTCCAGTATGGGCTCCAATAAACGTCTTCTCTTTTGCCTAAAAATACCCCCAAAACCTGTGATTACTTTTAGTAACCATGTTAACAAAGTGTTTATTTACTTAAAGATTCACTATGGCTTGTCTGACTATAAAATGCCTAGGTCCACTGAAAATAACTATGGCTTGAAATAAAAATATTTTCTGTACAGGGAACCCAGGATGGATGAGCCCTATAGGACCAGTGGTGTGAGTGGCAAAACAGGGAGGGTAAAGGGAGAATGGGTAGGAAAGAGGGAACCGATTACATGGAACTGTGTGTGACCTCCTCCCTGGGGGACAGACAACCGAAAAGTGGATGAAGGGAGACGTCGGACAGGGCAAGATATGACAAAATACCCATTTATAAACTATCAAGGGCTCATGCGGGAGGGGGGAGCAGGGAGGGAGGGGAAAAATGAGGACCTAATGTCGGGGGTTTAAATGGAGAGAAAATGTTTTGAGAAACGATGTACAAATGCACTTTACACAATTGATGTGTGTATGGATTGGGATAACAGTTGTATGAGCCCCTAATAAAATGTTAAAAATAAATAAATAACCTCAGACCGGAAGCTTATCGTTAAGAAATGCTGGCAACACAAATCATAATTCTTGTCCCTTACCAAGCGACATCTCATCTTGGACACAGTCATCCAACAGCACATACTGCCTCATCTTAAGGAGCCCTAGTGACACAGTGGCATAAGCATTCGACTGCGAACAGAAGGGGCAGTGGTTTGAACTCATCAGCCACTCCATATGGGAGAAAGGTACGGCAATCTGCTCTGTGAAACAGCTCTACTCTGCCCCACAGGGCGGCTATGAGTCAGAACCAACCCAATGGTCCGGTTTCATGCTGTGGGTCTCGATGAAATGAATGACCTTGGCACTGACACGAGAGGCCCAGAGTAAGGGCTCATTCAGGGAACTGCAAACAAGCCAGTATCCTCGACAATCTTCAAAGAGGGAAGAGGACATCCACGCAGGATCAAAGCCAGGGTGGGGAAGGTAAATCAGGAAAACGCATGTAACTTATTGTGAGTTGGAGGGAAGTTGTAATACAACGACATTTTGAAGGAAATTCAAGAATTCACATCATTAAATATGTCAGCTACAGAAATACTGTTTTCAAGTGATGTTCTTGCTAAGTTAAATGAGCAATGAAAAGATAAGAATTTCATTAATACCTTCATTTTTACTGGGAGTGGAAAGGTGGGCGGAAGGGAACGGCAGAGAAGAGATGACTTACCTCATGCATGTATGGGTCTACAAGTATTTCAAAAGGTCCAATGGCCAAGGAGATATTTGACGCCGCTGTTGGAATGGTCAGCATGTAATGGAAGGTCTTCTTCCTCATATCATGGGTATACACTGTCTCCACCAAGTCCCCATTGGAGACGGCCACCATGGCAGCATCTACTGTGAATTCTAACTTCCACGTACATAATTCAGAGTAGGAATCAACACATGGGAACCAAAATCTAGGAAAACAGTGACGGCACAGGAATACACTTAAAATATACCTCCATCTATAAGTACATTTAACATTTCTTGATCACGAAAGCATTTTTAATGTGCAACTTCAAAGAATCTAACATGTATACTCGTGTATAAAGCCTTTACAGCACTTTTTTTTTTTTTTTACAGCACATTTTTTCTGCAGTTTTGGTGGTAAAATTATGTGCCTTGGCTGACATTCAGGTCGGCTTATACTCTAGAGTATACAGTAATTTTAAGTCAGCTTTCAATGTTATCTATGAATATTAAGAAAATATACCATGTGTTGCTTCCAGTTTACATTCTAAAAAAACTATTCCAAAGTTTAATATAAAAATAATTTCAATTTGTACAAGTAGCTTCACATTAATTTATATGTAGCATTCACTTCTAGAAACTAAAAATGTGTAATAAAGCCTTATGAAACACAATTAGTATTCAGAATCTTCTCTAAAAGTCAGGATACTGCTTTTCAGAACTATTTATATAAGCTAAGTGCTGAGAAAGTCAGTCTGAAATTTCTATTTCTTTCCATTCAGGTCAGATCTTATGTGCCAGGGTCCGTACTTAGCAGCACAAAGACGTGATCCCTGCCTTATAGAAGCCAACAGTCTGGGACAAGCACACATTATAAAATTCCAATAACCCATGATACACGTATAGTAGATGAAGAGGTGTGAGCAGTGGGGGGGAGTATGAAATTCCTCTTTAATAAGAGTAGAGGAAGAAAATGTTTTGAGAATGATGAGGGCAAGTACAAATGCACTTTACACAATTGATGTGAGTATGGATTGTGATAAGAGTTGTATGAGCCCCTAATAAAATGATTTAAAAAAAAAAAAAGAGTAGAGGAAGAAGGAAAGATGAGCCCAGATTCGCACAGAGGATATGAAATGTGGTTAACCTCCTCCTGGGCCATGAGACCAGAAGAACTGGATGGGCCCAATTATCATTACTGCATTTTTTGTTTAAGATTCCATAGAAGAATCCTTATCAAAACAGGGGAAACAGTTCTCATGAAATCTATACTTTTTAGAAGCATAGTGGGTGAATATACCCCTGAAACTATCGCCTTGATAGAATCTTTTAGCCTTACACCAAAAATAAACTCTACTTTAAACCAACAAGTGTAGCTTGCTGTTACTGTCCAGTGACGTAAGTTCCTACTCCTATCAGCCCTCTGTACAACAGGAAGACACGCTGCCTGGTCCTGCGCCACGCTCACAATTGTTTTCATGTGTGAGCCCATGGCGGCAACAACTGTGTCACTTCATTTTGTCCAGGGTCTCTTTCAGTCCCTCCACTTTATCAAGCACGATGTCCTTTCCCGAGACTGGTCTCTTCTGACAAAACGTTGCAAGGATAGGAGACAGAATACTGCCGGCCTTCCCCCACACGCATTCTGGCTGTATTTCTCCCACAACAGATTTGCTTGTCCTTTTGGCAGTCCGGGATACTTTCAATATTCTTCCCTGCCACCACAATGAAAACACAGCGATTTTTCTTCGGTCTTCCTTATTCAATATCTAACTTTTACGTGCATGAGGAGATTGAAAAGACCATGGCTGGGTCAGACAACCCGGAGACCCCAAAGGAACCTGCTTGCTTTTCAACACCTTAAAAGAGGAGCCCTGGTAGCAGGCACTGCGGCTCCATGTTGGGCTGCTAAAGGCAAGGCCGCATTTCTAAACCACCAGCCACTCTCTGGCACCATCCTGTCGAGAGCTAGTCTCAGGAGAGCCACAGGGCAGGTCTACCCTGTCCTCAAGGGTCACTGTGAGTCAGAATCCACTTGACGGGAGTGAGCTTCAGAGTTCACTTGAAATAGTGGAACAGTTCTGGCTTAAGCATGATGCTTTTTAAGAACGATCTATATGGAATCAAATTGACAGGAGCAACTCAAAAAATTAAACAGGAACCTAAGAGATGGTGAGTTTACATTAATAAGGGAGGAACAACTGAGCAATGTGGGGAAAGGACAGCTGCACAACTTGAAAAGTGTAATCAGCCATTAAACTGTACATGTGGAAACTGTTGATATGGTATGCTTCTCACTGTCGATACTCTCAATAACAAAATGAATGAAATTGAGAGAAAAAAATGAGCAAACTAGAGGTAATTACAATTTTCTGTAGGTTTTTCTTCAATATAAGGCTCAAAAAGAGAATCATGAGAAATGATTTTCACAGGAACCACTCAAGCTCACTGCCACCTAGTCAATACCGACTCACAGCAGCCCTCTAGCACAGGTCCCTTTCTGAGACGGAGCTGCTTACAGGAGTAGACAGCCCCATCTTTCTCCTGCAGAGCTGCTGGTGGTTCGAACTGCTGACTTCCTCGTGGACTGCAGTGCAGTGAGTAACCACTACTCCACCAGGGTTTACAGAACAGGGGAGAAGAAATGATAAATGGAACAAGGTTCAGGAGAAGTGGAAGAGGTTTCAGTGATTAAGCTTGTTCTTCTCATTTTACACTAAATATACAAGGGCCACCTGAAAAAAAAAAATCAGTGGGAAAATTCCATCATCTTTTAATTCCATTTTTCCATAAACTTTGTAAAGTCCCCTCATTTGTGAGTATACCTAGAAAAAAATGCAATGGCCACTTCAAATATATAAGAATCCATGCCCTACCTTGTGGAATTCTGATAGCCACAAGAGAACACATGAGCGCCTCTCTCAGCCATGCTTCCCTCTACACTGGGTACCACAAAATGAAGGCCTCCTTTAGGCTGATCCAATGAGAAATTGATGTGTATCTTCAGGACCTTTAACTCTGTAGCAACACACATCCCCAGCGAGATGTAAATACATATATAAATAACAGAGCTTGCAACATTTTAATGCTGTGTATTTCAAGATTAGTTTATAATTCTGACATCCTTTCATTTTCATGTGAAAATTTCCGGTCACAGGATCTAACATGATTTTACTATATCGTAAATATAGTCTCCATACTTTACCATCAACATGTTTCCAAAGCTCTGAGGGAACCTTAATGCAAAGTTCTCCATTTCCTGCATCAGGATCCACAGCAGTAACTGCAGCTGCATAAGCATTAGAAAAATAATTGAGATTTCTCCTGAAGAGGAAAAAAAGCCAAGTTTTAAGAACACATATGTTTCACCAAAGACTTTCTTAAATATTACTTGACATCACTTATATATAAGCAAGCACTAAATGCAGTCCCCAGGCGCAAACAGCTGACTTTCAGACAACTTGCCAAAGTGTTGGTAAGTGCTATCGAGTCAATTCCAACTCATGGCGACCCTATGTACAACAGAAGAAAATACCACCTGGTCCTGCCCCAGGCGCCTCATTGTTTGGGCTCATTGTTGCTGCCAATCCATCTTGTCAAGGGTCTTCCTGTTTTTGATGTCCCTCTACTTTACCTAGCATGATGTCCTTCTCCAGGGACTGGTCTCTCCTGACAATATGTCCAAAGTAGGTGAGACGAAGTCTTACCATCCTTGCCTCTAAGGAGCATTTTGGCTGTACTTCTTTCAACACAGATTTGTTTGTTCTTCTGGCAATCCGTGGTACTTGCACTATTCTCAACAACACACCATACATCAAACCTATTGACTCTTTTGATATTTCTTATTCGTTGTCCAAGTTCCACATGTATATGACACAAGGACTTGTAAATGCACTTTAATGAAATGTAAACTTGCCCTCACTTTGAAATAACAGAGGGAACCCCTATTGCAACATATCTATCACACTCATCACTGTATGCAGCCGATGCAGCTTTTAATCACTGAGAGGCCTTTAGGTCCTTTACATGAAAGTAAGAACTAGATGCACCTGCTCAACTTAACCTACAGATCTTGTTCATAACCCAGGAACAGCCTGGGTAACTCTTACACAATTCAAAAGAACACTTTTTAGCCAAGTGCCTGTTATTCATCACACTATAAATGCAATAGTACATACAACCTGGTGCTCAGTGCTGGGTGACTGCATTATGATTACGAGGATGCTTCCAAAAAAGTTCACGGGAAATTTTCACTAACTTTTAATTCCACTTTCAATGAACTTTTGGAAGCCTCCTTGTATTACACCCTTCACTAATTCTGAAAAGCCAAATTCACTACACTTTTCTAATACAAATGGGCATAATATGTTGAATTGAGAAAAATACTGATTTCCTATCAATCAGGCGAAAATTTTAAAAATCAATCAGGCAAAAAATTGTAATGATTTCTTATCAATCAGCCAAAAATCAGGCACCTCAACAAACTAATCTGATAGACATTAAGATGTCTAAAACAAGCTAGAGAGACTCATCTGGAGAAGGACATCATGGCAGGGGAAAAGGAAGGCCTTACACAGCGCTTGCAACAGTGGGCTCAGGCACAAGAATAATTGTGAGGATGGCACAGGACCACACAGTGTTTCATTCTCTGGTGCGTAAGGTCACTATGGGTAAGAACCGACTCAATGGAGCCTAACAGCAACAGAACAAGTCAGGCCCAAGACTATAGCCTCAGTCAAGAACTACATAAATGACCCAAGGATAGCGTCCAGAGGGTTAGGGAAAAAAGAGGACTAGACACAGGAAGCACAAGGACAAAGCAGAATAGAGTGGCACATTGAAGGAACTGCAGTGGATGAGGTAATGCAAAGGACAGGTAACTTGCTGAATGTAAACCTGCTGATCTGCTCCATCAACCTACACAGAAATCCTAATAAAAACTTTAAAAATAAAGAAAAGAACAATAAATTAGGTTGCGAAGGTATTGCTCGAAATAAAGTACTGCTTACTCCACTTCGCAGGACATGACAATGTAAGGGAAGGGGACAATTAGTGAGGTAACTGCTATACTCTGATAAGCCAGGAGGCACTCAGTAACTATTTGTTCAATAGTTATTTAGCCTTATTTCCCACCAGAGAAAAGCAACACAGAGAATTCTTTCGGAACTGTGAATATTTCCCTCATGACTTTCTCATTGTATTCCATTTTATCAGAAGAGACACAAACTTATTCTCATAGAGTCAATTCTAGAGGGCAGACCCTATAAGATAGATTAGAAGTGTCCCTGTCCATTTCTGAGCCTGTAAATCTTTACAGGAGCATAAAGCCTCATCTCTCTCTTGTGGAACATCTGAGTGGTTCAAACTGACCTTGTGGCTAGCAGTCCAACATGTAACCTATTAGTATCACCAGGGCTCCTCCAGTAGACCAGCCCCTGGAAATGACATCATGCTCGGCATGAAGTAGGGGTCAGTGAAAAACAGAAAGATCCCCAACAAGATGGATGACACTGAGGCTGCCCCAAGCATAGGAGTGGCTGCAGGATCTCAACAATTGTTGAAGACTGGACAGTGTGTCATTCTGTTGCACAAGGGGCACCAATGGGAGGTGGAATGGACTCCAAAACTTGCAATACGGTTTTTATGGTAGCTATAAAAGGAATATACAAGTGAGCTCCAAAAAGTTCATCCAAAAACAGAATGAAACAATAATGGAATTTTTCCCCTCCGCAGGCCAGCCTCCTAGCCCAAAGCACTCCGCTTTACTTGCCCTATGAGCTAGGGAGTTCCCTGTTGGGTCTCGTACTCTGGGGCTCCTGCTTCCGCTGTTGCTGCTCCCCTGACACCTCTCTGGTGTCAAAGTTGTCTCCTGGATCAAAGAGGTTCCATGCACAGGGATTCTGAGGTACGTGTTTGACCCCTTAAGGCTTGTCCTTTGCTGGTGGTGCAATTCCTCCCCACCACCGCCCCTTTCTGCTTTTCAGATGGCAGCAGGATGGCAGATGTGACAGATAACCTCCGTTAACAATCGCTCACAACTGAATCCTAGTAATGTCCCCACCTTCTCTTACTCAGCCCCATCAGTATAGGGTCATGTGGGCGGGGGTGAGAGACTAGAGCTAGACGAGACACATTAAATAACTCATTGCACTGCAGTCAGAATCAATTCACTAGCACCCAATGACAACAACAAGCCACAACAATTCATAGAACTAGTTAATATAGTAACTAGATTAAAACTAGCTTAAGATGAAGTTTTGGTATCTTATCTCAAAATACCAATAATCAAAGAAATGACAGAATTCAACACTACCAAAACTTTGTAACGCTAAGTGTCCTCAAGTGTAGACAATTATATCTAAATTAGTATATACCTCACTGAGGCAGAGTCAAGTAACATATTAAGAGTCCTAAAAACGATAAGTAATTCTGTTTGCCTATAGAAAGCATGAAAAACAGAGGGGCTAATACTACCTGTATCAGAATGTTTGCTCGACATAATTTATGCTGCAAAAGGTGGAAACTATAAGAACACCACACAAATGGAGAACAGTCATGCAAACTACAGAACACTAACGAAAGGAAAGTCACGTGACCATTTAAAAAAAAGAGCTAACTATGAAATCTATGTTGAAAACCACAACAAAAAACCTCACTGCCACTGAGTCCATGCTGACTCATAGTGAGTCAGGTGGAACTGCCCCTGTGAGTTCCTAGACTAACTGCTCACAGGAGTAGACAGCCCTGTCTTTCTCCCGTGGAGTAGCTGGTGGTTTAGAACTGTGCAGACAACAGCGGAAAAAAGAGTAACCACCACACAGCCACCAGGGCCTCCTTGAAGCCTACGTACACACGGGGAAACATGAAAACCAAGGATGCAGTGAAAATAGAATTGATCACAAGCATGCACATTTCATGATAAAACTCAGAAGTTGCCTCAATCGATGTCATGGTTATTTAAAGTGAGGACCACTGGATGAGATTCATCTTCTAGACTACTTTAAAGTACGGTAGTCTCTGGTCTATAGATCATGAAGATTGTCGAAGTGAAAGGTACTAATGTACAAAGTAAAAAAAAAATTTTTATTTTACTAATGCACGAATTATTTTAAAGGGCCGAGAAAGGGCTAAGAAAATGTCTAAAAGATCCCAGCTAGCCCATCCTTAAAGCTGTACTCTGAGGGAGAAGAAGGTAATAACCAACCATACTGGGTGGGGCTAGTAACAGTCTTGAACTCAATGAGCTATGTGGCAAAAGCACAGAAATAAGAGGGTAATGAGGAGAGAAAAGAGATCCAGTATTTATTCATAGCTGAGAAAAACCTGTTGAGGAAAATGAATCCAATCCCAAGAGAAAAGCGAAATGGTTAGGTACACCGACTTTTAAAGTTTATTATAACTTACTGCTTCGATTCATTGTGGCAAACTTCCAAGGTTGGATCATTGTAAATAAAGGCAGCCTCTAAATCGTTGACCCTTACTCGGTATATTCTGCACTGTTTGCTGTTCAACTTGATTCGATTCAAGTTTGCAACTGTGGGGAAAATAGTCAGTTCCACAAATCCCTGTGAAGAGAAAAGAGTAACAATGTCATTATATTTTTAAAATTGGTAATGTTTACCAGGAGCAATTCATTATTTAATGTGGCTCTTCCAGCCAAAGTCTCTAACTCCCACTAAATGACCTTTTCCTGCATGAGCCTGGTAAAGGTGGGAGAAGATACTGATAGGATTCACCTGTCAGTAATTGTGAGCACGAGTCCCTGCAATGCCATCCTGCTTCATATAAACGAGCCTCGGAGAACCAGGAAAGATCTCACTACAAACAAGAACGAGGAGTGCAATGTCTCCTGGGCAGTGAAACTCCTAGACCCCAAAAACAGCTGTGACGCCAAAGGAGCAGCAGCAGAACCAGGAACCAGAGCATGGAACAGAATGATGGACTTGTCAACCCACAGAGCAAGTAAAGTTGAGGGCTCTGTGCAGGAGGCCACCTTGTCGAGTTGGGTGACTCTGGGCACTTCATGAAGGGAGCTAGGTTTGCTGACCCACACGCAGCTTAAGTTGAATGCCTGTGGGTTGAGGCTCACAGTGGAGTGGTATGCTCTTTGGGCATTTATTAGCAGATCCTGAAGAACTTTGTGACAGTGCCTTGATAAACAACTGTATCCTGAGCATTTCTCACTTGCATTACAATCTGTCATCTTCCTTAATAAGCCCTTTAATTATTGTCTGTGAGTTCTGTATAGCCATTGCCATGGATATTAAAACCTAGAGAAATAAGTAGAAGATATTAATTAAGACAATCCACCCACTGTCATACTAGCATGACTGTATTACACTAGATACTTGCATGCATGTTATCACCAATCATTGCAACACTTTGGAGATGTGCACTACTTTGCATTTTTTACAGATAAGTCAACCATCAGGCTCAGCATATTTTATTAATAAATGAAATGGGATGCAAACCCACATCTAACTACACCCCCAAAGTTCATGCTCTCTCCAGTATGCCATGATGTATAAGGCTTTTACACATCATACATGAAGCTTTTGGATAACATTCAGCCTCAGCTGCTCAAAAGCCTGGAGATTCTGTAGCCTGTAGCCTGTAGCCTGGACCCCATCAGCTCCAACTAATGGAGAGGCCACTTCTCCACCCAACTATCACCCTCCTCTGTTAACCACCCACTCTCTTGCCTGACTGCTATGTGGACTTATCTTTCTCTATTTAGAAATGATTCTTCCATTGGTCCTCTAACACAAATGAGAAAAAATGATACGATAATTATTCTTACATACTATAACTGGTCTTAACCTAACATTCTGTGATTCTAAGGAAAAGGTATGTTTCTATCTACATAGCCCATTTTAAGTAAACATAGGCTCACGCAAGAGTAACAAGGGTCAAGCACCATCATTCCAAGGGGAAAAACCAGTTCCACGAGTTTATTGTTCTTACACATTGTAGATCACCAAATACTTACTAAACGAATGAACATGGGAACTATTGTTAACCTCACTTAACACATGAGGACACTGAAACACAAAGGATGCCCACAGGAGGTGATGCTCCAGAATTTGGGTACAGGAGGACTTTCTTCTGGGGAAACAAACAACCAGACTTACTGCCATCCCATCAATACCTCCTCAGAGACCCAATAGGAGAAGTTAGAATTGTCTCTGGGCATTTCTGAGACTGTAATTCTTTGTGGGAGTAGAAAGCCCTTTCTTTCTAGGAGTGGCTGGTGGTTTTAAACTGCTGACCTTGTGGATCCCAGCCAACTTATAACGACTGTGCCACCAGGGCTGATCTGACAGAAAGGCCAACCTGAATTCTAATTCTTCCTTATCCTTGAAAGGTGCCCTGGGTGTGTAGTAAGGTACGACTGCCAACCAGAAGGTCAGGAGTTCAATCCCGCCATCTGCTCTGAAAGGGGAAGATGAGGTTTTCTACTCCCACAGTTACAGCCTTGTAAACCCACAGGAAAAGTTCTACCCCATCTTACAGGGTCACTAAGAGTTGGAATTAACAGGAACCAAGTTTCTTTTTCTGGAACCATATTTCTAAGTACTCTAGAGTGAGATCTCTGGTGGTGTAGCCTGCTAATCGTAAGGTCAGCAGTTTAAAACCACCAGCCACTCTGTGGGAGAAAGAGGCGGCGTTCTAGTCCCTGGAGTTCCACTCTGTCCTGCATGATCACTACGAAGGGAATCATTTGGTGGCTGCGAGGAAGTCCGCTAGACCGTGGAGTTGCTACTGCTTGTACTTACCACAACGGACTTTCTCTGGAAGTTTACGTTGTTGATGCAGACCACTTGATGGGTTGTACATTAGAAATAGAAAACAAAAGGAAAATATAACTTCCATTATTAAGAGAACGCGTAACGCTAACCCAGTATTAATATGGGATTAGTCCCAAAGAAATGGAAACCCATACTTTATTTCCCGTTAAAATCCCACAAAGGGGGACAGCTTGCTTGGTTTTAACCTGTCAGGCGGAAGGGAAAGAGACTCCTTTGGACGGAAACAGTGGGATATTTTAAGACGGGTCCCCTGAAATCGGCCAAGCGGGGCCTGTCATTCAAAACCGCTCCCACCCCACCAGCTCCCATCCGAGTGAACGTCCCACGAAGCCCGTTTCCAGCGATCACAAATGTTAAGAAAAAACAAAACCCAGACCAGGAACATGGGGGGGGGGGGAATGAAATCACAGTAATACTTATAATTTATAAGGCCTGGGGCTTTCAAAGCCCTTGTCCCCTTTCTTCCTGTTCATCCTGACGGGCTCTAAGCCAGTCGGCGGCATGAAGCGGGCCCCGGAAGCTTGGCTCCCCGACTTCCCGGGGGGCGGCCGGACATTCTGGTCTCGGGGTCCTCCGCTGCCCCGCGGCGCTCGGCTCCTCTAAGGGGCCTCGGCCGAACTCATTCCAGGGAAGTGCTTCCGAGAGCGGCTGCTCGGAAACACCGGCCGCCGAAGACACGACGGGAACCTCTGACCTCTCGCGTCACCGGAAGCGAGCCTGCCGAAGGGGCGGGACCCGGAAGTCTGTGGTCGGGGGCGGGGCCTACGGGGGCCGGCTGGCTTTTATTGTCGTTTGAGTTGCCGCCTGCACGTGGATGCTGGGAAGGTACAATTTGTTCGCGTTTGGGGAAAATGCAGACAAATATTTAGTGGGTGAAACGGGCCCGGCATGTAGGCTAGGGGACAAACGTTGCATCTTAGAATTAAGGTCCAGAGAAAGCCCGTGAAGACTTCCGAGACTGGATGTGCCCCTAATGAGGGGCTCTCCGGAATCGGGAGGTGGTGCCTCTCCCTTCTCCGTGAGCAGACGCTGTACGCCCCCTAATCCCGTGATGTAAGCTGCAAATTGTGTGTTTAGAGCCCCACAGAAGACCCTCTGTGCTCCATTCCATTACGATTCATAGTGATCCTGTAGAACAGTAGAACTGCCCATCGGGATTCCGACTCTTGTCCACCCATTTCCTCTGGCTTCTCACCGCCGACCTTTCAGTCGGCAGCTGGGCACTTGAGCCACGCACCAGCGGACCTCTAGCATTAGTGTTCGCCCCCCAGCACCTCTGCCATGGAGGGCATGCCAATCGTCAAACTCCAGAATTCTCACTGGGCCTTGCTGCCTCAATAAAAAAACGAACAAACAAAAACACCCGTCTAGCAGGGAAGCAAATAAGCCCACTTGGAAGCACAGCAGCCTGTGTGATCATGAAGTGTCTCATAGTATCAGGTATCAAAAGATCCAGAACAATTATATCGATGTGAAATAGGGGGGTTAGAGTGGAGACCCAAAGCCCATCTGTAGACAATTGGACATCCCCCCCACAGAGGGGTTACAAGGAAGGGACGATTCAACCAGGGTGCAGTATAGCACTGACAAACACACATCATTCCTCTAGTTCCTGAATGCTTCTTCCCTCTCCCCATCCCCCAACCATGACCCAGTTCCACCTTACAAATCCGGCTAGACTGGAGTACACACATTGGTACAGGTAAGAGCTATGGACACATGGAATTCAGGACAGATAAAACCCTCACGAACAGTATTGGGAGTATCATGATTATCTTTAGGGATGGTGGGAAGGTGGGGGGAGAGAAGGGGGAACTCATCACAAGGTTGGATATACAGACTACCCCACCATGGGGTAAACTAACAGAAATGTGTAAAACATGAAATAACAATAATATTTAATCGATCAAGGATTAAAGAGGTGGGGAGGGGAAGGAAGGGGGAAAAAGAGCTGATACCAAGGACCCAAGTTGAAAGAAAATGTTTTGGAAATGATGGCAACATGTTCAAGTGTGTTTAATACAATTGCAGGATGGATTGTTATAAGATTTGTAAGACCCTC